GAACAGCGCAGCAGGAGAATGCGATTAAAAGGCCGCCTGTCACGGCAAGACATTTCTCTAGACAAATTGTCCCAGAAGTTATTGTGATAAACGATAATATTGTTGTCCTGAGACAATTTTCCAGTAATATAATGATAATAGCATAATAATGCACATTCTCACAGATGAATAATCTTTAAATTCTAACAAACATTTAATGTTGGACATTTTATAAGACATTTTCAATATCCACAATAAACAAACAACACAACAGAAATAACAAATGAAATGAATTATGAAAACAAAATTGTTCTTCAAATATAAGGACTGGTTGAGACCAAAATACCAGACCGAAAACTTTTATCATCTGTATTTTGGTTTTGGTAGGAAGAAAAAAAACAGATAAATTATGCACAACAGACATATCCCCCTTTTTCACGGCAGTCTGAACGATCTGTTCACCCAACAACAAAATATGATTTGTGCTGCTTTACTATGTGGAAGTAAATTATGTCTGATTGTTTTAGCATAAAATTTGAAAAACACTGACATGACTGTTCAGAGTGCAAATATTAGTAAGATAATTTTGTTTGCTTGAACAATAAAAAAACAACTGATTATATTTACAATAAGTGCCAATAAAATCTGTGAAACAACAGAAATATGACCTAAAATGAATAATTCTGTGCCAATCCCAACAGGGATGTGAACATTTATTGAGTTTGTTGGGAACTGTGATGGTTTTAGAAGAAGGATCTGAGTTTACGCTGCTTTGTGCACTGAGGATGCAGCAGTTTGTCATTGAAGAAAGATCCAGATTCAGGAATGAATGAAAATAATCAGAAATATGTCATGGTGAGGAGCGAAGAAAGAGCAGAAAACATGAAGAGTCCAGAATAATAAAAGTGTGCAGGTGGATCGTGTGTTTCTCCGTCAGCACTCGTCAGCCAGTCGAGCCTCCCTGATTCTGCTAATGAAGAGAATCAGCATGTAAATCAGCCGATTTGCGCCTGACAAGACGAGGTCAGGGGAAAACTGGCCCGCAGGTGTTTGAAGATCTTTGATTGATAAATGTTTTCATCCACAGCAGCATTAGTCAGCTGGTAAAATGAAGAGAGGATTTTCTGCATTACAGAGGCAGACGTGCAGCTGCAGATGTGCAGCAGGTGCCATGCGTCTGCTGAGCGTTAGCAGCCGATCAGCAGCAGAGCGATCCAAGCGCAGCAGAGATTAATTCAATCTGCTCTGTAATCATCTTAGCCTGCAGCCTGCAGGTGGAAAAGCGAACCGAGCCTGGAGCCGTCCGCGTGTTTTCACGTTAAAAACTGCAGAAACGTTTTATTATGAATCTGAAAGGAACAGAAAATAATGAGCAGGTAAACTGAACCTTACGAACCACCTTACGAACAACGACTACCATAAAACAGAATAAATATCAAAATCAGTCAACACAAAAAACCTGTAGCTTAAGGATGCAACAAGCTATTACTTTAGTTTTTGATTAAGTAATCTATTAATTTTGGCTATTAATCAGGTAAAAAAAAAAAATCTGTTCTGCCGATTCGTCATGAAAGCCTTTTTTTGTACAATTTTAGAAGAATGTTTGTTGACTATTTGTGGATTAAATGATTAATAATTGGATTGTATAATGTTACTAAAAGGAGATTTTATTTTTACGGAAGGTGAACCAGGTGAAGTTAAGTCTGCTACTAAACACATACAAGGTTTTTTTAATCTTAGATGCTAAATGGTTATATTTGTGTCCAGCTTTGGCTTCATGATGCTCTGATCTTTTTAGAGTCGATTCACTGACTACTAAATTAGTTGGTGATAATTTGAATAATTGCTTCATCCGATTAATCGTTTCAGAATTGCTAGCTTCCGCTAACTAAAGCCAACAAACACGGTTCTCCTTCCTTCAGATTCATGTGTTCATATTCATGCGTACATACTGTCGTTGCTGATGGAGGCGGGCCGTTCCAGGTCTCTGCAGGTGAGGATGGCCAAGGTGAAGCAGGTGGGCCTCCTGGCCGCCGGCTGCCAGCCCTGGAACAAAGACGTGTGCGCCGCCAGCGGAGACCGCTTCGCCTACTGCGCTACGTTAGCCATCTACGTCTACCAGGTGAGGTCATGAGGACCGCTTCATTCATTCATTCATTCATTCATTCATTCATTCATTCATTCATTCATTCATAAATATCACAAATTCAATCAAAAATATTTATTCAGCAAAAAAATCCAGTTAATTAGCTTCCAAGGTAAATACTTAGCTCCATGAATGTTTAGCGGACAAGCTAACTATATGGCTGTGAACTACACAGTTAGCTCTGAGCTATGCAAATAATTAGTTAGCTAATTAGCCAAAGAGGTTTGGAAGTCCCAGCTTTTATTGTGGTTGCCCACTTCCGGTTATTGGAAGTGATTTTGGCATGTTAGCCAAATGTTTAGCTTGCTAACTAACTAGTTTGAAGCTAAATGTTTAGCTTGAAACCGTGACGTTTATGAATGAATGATTAACATGGTAAAAATGTGACTTTGAAAAATGAACCCTCGTTTTTTATTTTATGACAGGCTAATCAAACCAAATTATTGGTGTTAACCGTTAACTGTGTAACTTTGTGCCTCATAATTACACACCGACCTTTAAAAGTCAAATTGATCAAATCTGCTGCCGTCTACACTGGTTGTTGTTTTTCTGTTGAAGACGCAACTTCCTGTTTTTGATTAGATTTCTAAATTTATGTCACAAAAGTTGCAGCACATGATGTTTTCAAGACAACATCATCGGATAAAATTTAGTTTTTGTTATAAGTGAAGTATATAAGTGAAGCTTTGAAAATTTGAGCAGGATGAACCAAACCTGATCCAGAAAGTTCTCCTCTGACGGCTGCTCACCTGTCTGAGGAGGGAGCTGCTTCCCAGGACTGATCCCTGAGGGACTCCCTTGCTCACCTTTGACCTTGGCGGGTAAAGCAGATGTTTGTTTGTGTGCAGCTGGACCAGCAGTACAACGAGTTCAAGCTGCGCTCCATCATGTCGGAGCACAAGAAGACGATCACGGCCATCAGCTGGTGTCCCGACAATGCCGACCTGTTCGCCTCCGCCTCCGCCGACAACCTGCTCATCATCTGGAACGTGGCGGAGAAGAAGGCTGCCGCCCGGCTGGACAACACCAAAGGTAGGCGACCGACAGGGACTCTCACCTCTGACCTCTGAGCCATCCTCCTTCCTCTCCAGGCGTCCCCGTCTCCGTCAGCTGGTGCTGGAACTCGGCGGACGGCGTGGCCTTCGTGTCGCAGCGCGGCCCGCTTTACGTCTGGGACTACCGAGGGTCCGACGCGGCGGTCACCGTCCACAAGGAGGCGCACTCCTTCCTGTCGGACATCTGCCTGTTCCGCTGGCACCCGAGCAAGAAGGGCAAGCTGGTGTTCGGACACACCGACGGGAGCCTGTCCGTCTTCCAGCCCGGTAAGTCCAGACCCGCGCTCTGGGGGAAACTAAGTTCACCCCCATTTCTAAGTTCACCCCTAAAGACATCTCTTATTTTGAGCTTTATTTAAACAGTTTGCATTAATTTCCAGTTATGGTCTGAGAGTTTGTTTAATGGGTTCAGTGGTTTTCCGCCTGAAAAGGCTTGAGAAATACTGATCTAGAGAGAATGACCTTTGACCTCTACCCTGCTCAGTGAGGCCTGTAGAGTCTGGAACGAAGTGCTGAGATTGGACAGGAAGCTTATTGTCGGTTTTGGCTCAGCGTAGCTTCGTAGTCTGCAGCTTACATTCTAGATTTTCAGATATCTAGCAGGTAATTATGAAACTGATTTTATGATAACTCAGCCTGCCGTACACGGTTGTTCCTTTGACCTTTAACCTCTACAGTTACATGGTCCTGTAAAACTCTCAGAAAACAGAAAACGTTCTGATAATAGATTATAATTTGTACTTTTGAATACTTGAGTATTTTTATAAGTACTTCAGTACTTCACTACTTTCGCTGGTAGTTGAGTGCCAATATTTTACTCAAGTACCAGAGCTGGGTTAGGGTTAGGGAAGTACTTTGCCCTTCACTGGTTGTTTCTCTGACCTCTGACCTTGGGATGAACCTTCTCCCAGGTGTTTTCTTCTCTGGGGGGTGATACACTTTGTATGACCTTTGACCCCTTCCCAGATTGATGAGCAGTTCTACTTCCTGCCCTGCAGTTTGGTAACGTCTGACCTCTGACCTCTGCTGTGTGTCCAGGCAGTAAAAGCCAGAAGCATGTCCTGCGTCCAGAGTCCCTGGAGGGGACGGACGAGGAGGACCCGGTCAGCGCCCTGGAGTGGGACCCTCTGTCCACCGACTACCTGCTAGGTACCCTAACCCCGACCCGGAGCCTCAGTGCAGACGCAGCCTCAGGTTCTGATCGGGTTCTGATCCGCCGTCTTCTTCTCCTGCAGTGTCCAACCTCCATAACGGCGTGCGGCTGGTGGACAGCGAGGGACTGTCCTGCATCACGTCCTTCTGCTTCCCGTCCGCCGCCGCCTCCGTCCAGTGCCTGGCCTGGGTTCCCTCGGCTCCGGGGATGTTCATCACCGGCGGTGAGAGGCGCTGCAGGACCCTGGCTCTGAATGAAACCTGATTGGTGGTGAGACGTGTTCTTTCTGCAGACTCGCAGGTCGGCGTGCTGAGAGTTTGGAACGTGTCTCGCTCCACGCCGTTGGACAGCTTCAAGCTGAAGAAGACAGGATTTCACGCTCTGCACGTGCTCAGCGCTCCACTGGCCAAAAGACGTAACTACACCTCCGATAACCCAACACGTAGACTGAAGCTTCATTTATAACCTAAACAATTAATCACTATTAGTCGATTATGGAAATCTCAGCTAAATTAGTCATTCTTTAATCTTAGAATGGAGTAAAAATTTTAAAAAGTCAATTTCAGAGCTGTAATTAGGTCAAAACTGTCCCCCAGTTTTCCTGCTGGATCTCTGGATCGATGCTCAGGCTGACCACCTCTGCTCCCCTCTGCAGCTCAGAGCTCCAGTTCTCCCAGTAAGAGCCAGCACACCAGTTCCACCAGCGAGGCCGTCCCTCCGCCGACCCTGTCCCAGAACCGGGCCTTCTCTCTGCCGCCCGGCCACGCCGTCTGCTGCTTCATGGACGGCGGCGTCGGACTCTACGACATGGGGGCCAAGAAGTGGGACTTCCTGAGAGACTTGGTACTCTGCAGGCTGAGTGGCTGGCAGGACAGGAAGTGTCTCGGTTCGCTCTGACGTCTGTTTTTAAATTCCAGGGCCACGTAGAAACCATCTTTGACTGCAAGTTTAAACCCGATGACCCCAACCTGCTGGCGACGGCTAGTTTTGATGGAACCATAAAAATCTGGGACACCAACACACTGACGGCCGTTTCTACGTCCCCTGGCAACGAAGGCGTGGTTTACTCTCTGTCCTGGGCTCCAGGTGGATCAGCTGCTAACACACTGCTAATATCAGCTAATGTTAGCATACCAGCTAATGTTAGCATACCAGTTAATGTTAGCATATTAGCTGGTGTTAGCATATTAGCTAATGTTACCATGTCAGCTGTTAATTTATGAGCTAATGTTAGCACATCAGTTAGTATTGGCTTTTCAGTCAATGATAGTATATCAGCTAATAATATTAGCATATTGGCTAATGTTAGCATACCAGCTAATGTTAACATATAAGCTAATGTTAGCATTTGAGGTTATGTTAGCATATCTGCTAATGTCATACCATACATTGCACATACTAGCTAATGTTAGGATGTTGACAATTGTTGAGATATCAGTTTATGTCAGTTTATAGACTGTTAGTTTATCAACTAGCATTTACTATTCTGTGCTAACAGTAGTTAATATGCTAATTAATAATAGCTGATATGCTAATAATGATATACTATTGTTAGTAAATATATTATTATTAGCAAATGTATTTAGCTGCAACTACCTGTGTTAATGGCTCCTGTCTTGTCAAAGTTAGCTAATAACTAGCATTAATAAGTTAACACTACCTTACTTTTATTGTGTAAAGGTAAACATGAGTGATTGGATATTAGTGGGAAACAGCTGGAGGTGTCATTCTTAGCAGTGGCAGCTTGAGGAGCTGGGCAGTGAGACAGTGGTGAGGTGTGAGGCAGGACTGGCAGCAGAGAGCATTGTGGGTTGGGAGAGTTTGCTTGTGCGGTCCTTCTGTGTTTCTTGGATCTGGAAAGTGTTAGTCTGGATGTCAGGAGCCAGAAGGTTGCTGTGGTTCTTCATGGGAAAGCAGTTTTTCTCTGCTTGTTTCTAAGGAGACCTGAACTGCATCGCGGGAGCCACGTCTCGTAACGGTGCGTTCATCTGGGACGTCCGGAAGGGGAAAATCATCACCCGCTTTAACGAGGTCAGTTCAGATCTGCAGACTTGGTGAAGCTGGAGCGGTTCTAACTGCTGCTGTCTCCCTTCAGCACGGTAAGAACGGGATTTTCTGCATATCGTGGAGCCACAAAGACTCCAAGAGGATCGCCACCTGCAGCGGAGACGGGTTCTGGTGAGCGCTGGTCCAACCGGGTTGAATCTCGCAGCGATGAGGCGGAGCGCGTTTCATGTTCTCCTCTCTGCAGCATCATCAGAACCATCGACGGGAAAATCCTGCACAAGTACAAACATCCTGCTGCCGTGTTCGGCTGCGACTGGAGCCAGAACAACAAGTAAGACCTGAACGTCCGTCCGTCCGTCTGTACATCCATCTGTACATCCATCCATCTGTACATCCATCCATCCATCCATCTGTACATCCATCTGTACATCCATCCGTCTGTACATCCATCCATCTGTACATCCATCTGTACATCCATCTGTACATCCATCTATACATCCATCCATCCGTATATCCGTACATCCATCCATCCGTACATCCATCCATCTGTACATCCATCTGTACATCCATCCATCCATACATCCATCCATCTGTACATCCATCCATCCATCCATCCGTACATCCATCCATCTGTACATCCATCTGTACATCCATCTATACATCCATCCATCCGTATATCCGTCCGTCCGTCCGTCTGTACATCCATCCATCTGTACATCCATCCATCCATCCATACATCCATCCATCCCTACATCCGTCCATCCGTGCATCT